TTGCAAATCAGTTATTCAATTAATGGGTGTTTAAATCAATGAATCATAGCTACTTCGATGTTTTTGAAGAGATGATAGATTTAATCGTCATGATTTGTAACGAAAAAAAAAATATATAAAATAATATTTTTCATTATGCTCGTTTGAACTTTGTTCTTTTTATAGTGGTTCATTTGCCTAATGGTCATAAACACAGGCGGATCTTCGGGGGAGGAGGGAGGGTGCTTTTGGGCTTAATCTCCCCTACCTCCCCCTAAAAAAACGGTAAAATATAACCATGTTTAATAGAAAAAAAAAAAAATTAAAAACTATCTCTTAAAGTATTACTGTTCGTGTAATTACATTTTATAGGACTTCAAGAATCACACACCATGTCATATGGGTAGTTAATTTGTTTCTTTCTTTTTTTTCAAATTAATTATCGTTATAAATATATGAAAAAAAAATCTACCGGGCTGAAGCCCTCCCCCCCCCAAAAAAAAATTAAATTCTGGATCCCCTAGAAGTCATAAATAAACTAATCAAAAATTAATATTTGATTTCAAAATATATTTGTACGTTTCGAAGAAACTCTGTCCTCCTCCTCAGTTATCTAAAATATTATAATAAATAAATAATTTTAGGTTCATTCATGAATCTAGTCATTATTAATAAAAATAACATAATGCTAAAAAAACAGTATCCCATAATAAATAAATTAATCAAAAATTAATTTATGATTGCAAAATTTATTAGTACGTTTCGAGGAAATTCTGTCCATTTCAGCAATCTAAAATATTATAATAAATAAATATTTTTAGGTTCATTCATGAATCCAGTCATTATTAGTAAAAATAACATAATGCTTAAAAAAAGTATCCCATAATAAATAAATTAATCGAAAATTAATTTATGATTGCAAAATTTATTAGTACGTTTCGAGGAAACTCTGTCCTCTTCAGCAATCTAAAATATTATAATAAATAAAAAAAATTAGGTTCATTCATGAATCCAGTCATTATTAAAAAAAAAACATAATGCTTAAAAACCAGTATTCTATAAACAAATATAATAATTCTCCTAAATAACACTGTTAAAAACATTATAAACTTACATATTATTCCTCCAAGAAAATCCTGTTGAATTGTAATTTTGTGAGTAACCCATTTTCTCGGGTGAATAATACGTAAATTTATTTTGTTTTTAACAGTGTTATATTGGTGAATTATTATGTTTGCTAATGGGATACTGTTTTTTAAGCGTTATGTTATTTTTATTAATAATGACTGGATTCATGAAAATATTTATTTATTGTAACATTATAGATTGTTGAAGAGGAGGACAGAGTTTCTTCGAAACGTACAAATAAATTTTGAAATCAAATATTAATTTTTGATTAGTTTATTTATGACCAATACGCAAACGAACCCCTATAAAAAGAACAAAGGTCAAACAAGCATAATGAAAATTATCATTTTCCTCGAGTTTCCTCGAAACGTACAAATAAATTTTCCAATCATATATTAATTTTTGATTAATTTATTTATGACCAATAGGTAAATAACCTATTATAAAATAAATTTTTTTATATTAAAAATTGATCAAACGTTGCTGGTTACAATTAGATTGTTGAAGTTTTGAAAATAATTCTGTAAAACAAACCTATATCTCTTATGGGCGAGTTTGTTTTGTAAATTCTAAAAACTATATCAAATTTTGAGAAGTTTATTAAAGTTTTGTTTCCATGATACATGAATTTTTATTGCTTATTTATTTAATCATGTTTTTCCCAACATGCTTACCAGTATTACAACATTATCGTATAAACCTGCATACATATATATTGGTATATATGAAATAATCTGTTATTTATTTTTACATATAATTGCCTAATAGATTATTAATTAAGAAAAGTAAATTAGAACTTATAATCCGAACTTAAAATTAGGTCGTTACATCTTTGAGATTTACCTTAAAAACACTTATAAGACCATGATGTCCTGATTTACTAGTTGCATAATTTAGAAGTTAAAGATTTACAACAACAAAGAATACATACTGTCATGGTTTACAAAATGTTAAAGCATATTTTTCAGTAACATAAAATAATTAGTGTTGATGGCCCTATTGAATGCCAGTGATCATAAAAATTATGTGATTTCATAATACAATGTAAAGTTTTAGTGGAATCATACGTAAGTTTTCGGCCCCGCAGCAATGGACCACACAAATATAATTGAATTTTTTAAAAATGTTTTGGAATGATAATAATTAAATAGAAAGAAAAGTTAGAAAAAATATATATATTTTTCACATTGAATTGTTGATGGTGTTTACCTGACAGATATTAATTACATTCAATACTTCATTTTAAATTATTCATATTAAGTAACTATGTATTTTATGGCTTTTATTGATTTTATGTATTCGGTATATATTTTATATTTTTTGAGAAGTTCGTTAATATTTCGTACATTTTTACTTTCTCTTACATACCTATGTTTAAAATATATAGTAAGGGAAGGTATTGCGATCTTGAAATGTTTCGAAAAGGTATATTACCTCTGAGTCGGAATATGCAAGTCTCGCAAAATGGTCGGTGTGTATGTGAACGGTCTAGCTCAAAAACAAAAAATCCTGATAAACTAAAATAACGTATTTAAAGTTTTTATACGCCCGGGATGTTACAGCAACTTTTTCGTCAAAATCGGCAAACTGGAAGTGGCACAATATATAATCGATTTTACACATTTTTACGATTTCTCAAAAACGGCTATAACGATTTTGATTTAACTCGCTATATCAATGTATAATTAAATGGTCTTTAAAATCGTCTAGGTCCTATCCTCAATGATATTGTCTAAAACTTAAATATCGAATCTTCAAAATTTGTTCCTCTAAAGTACTTTTAATTGGTTTATTTTAAATAATTCACTGTTAGTTGTAATTAAAATAGGGGCAATATAAACTATGAAACAATTTGATAATAAAGTAAATGAGAAAAAAAGAAACAATTTTGTTTAGGTCAAAAGTGAATTTCCGGATATAATAGTCAGACAGTATGCGTATAAAAGTATGTGGTTGGAAAGTTGAGAATTTTAAGGAAAACAATATCTAACATACAAAGTCGTAGAACGTAATAAATCGTGACGCAAATCATAAATAATAATTTAAATATTATTTAATGGAAACCAAGTGTATTCAAGAAAAAGAAATGAAATTTTCCAACTAAATGTAGACTAAAATTATTTTTAAGTTTAAAAAAAAAAAAAAATATATATATATATATATATATATATATATATATATATATATATATATATATATATAAACCCACCGAATCAAGGCAATGATATTTTTCGAAAAACTATTTCATTGTATTTGTATGGAAAAAGAAGTGTTATATAAAAATATTTCAAAGATGTGTAAAAAATGTTTATAAACTTAAATACATTTACTGTAGTGTAACAACTCAAGATCTGATAATATATTTTAATAATTAGATACCTATCATGGGTTAATTTCGAAAAATCATCATGTAACATTTTAGAAAATTAAATTAATGAATAATTTGATTCATTTTTCCACTATAAAATCACAACATTGTCCACTTACAATTAGTGTGACGACTTTTGACATATTGATGCTATATTCAAAAGCTCATAACTATATTTTGATAAAAATTAAGAATTTATAATGCATAAAATAGATATAAAAACTGATAGAGTTTTAATTGTTATAATTTTTACTATATACTTATTCATAATTAAATACTTTCAAGCCTCCCTTTATATATAGAGCTCACAGATTAGTAATGCGACACAAATATACTGCAGGAGTTATGCGATTTATGTTGCCTACAATCGACATAATAAATATTGTTTTGATGGTCTTAACGAATTCTTGCATTGATAAATATGACCGAAATTCACAAATGTGTTTATCTCCAATAACAATGTACTTCAAAAACTGTTGGTAATTGTCCAATTTTTGCAGACAATAATTTCTTTCAAAGTAGAGCGGTAAGTGAAAGTTGTGTGATGTGCGAACCTGATTTTTATGATAAGTAAATATATTGAGTATACTTTTTTTTTTAATATAACCTTTTTATTAAGATATTAATTACTATAAAAATAAAATCTCAAAAAAAGTATAGTTGATATATGTGCTAGGATAGCAATATCAATGAAGGAAATCTTTGACTGAAGACATTAACGGGAATTATAAAAGAACCACGATGGGGGTTTGAAGATATGGATGGGTTACGGCACAACAGACGGATCTAACTAATAGAAGGATTAGAAAGGATCTGTTGCATCTTGAATACCATTTACATTTGATAACGTGAATGCAGCTGGCAAGGCCTTGAGTGCGACATACCTTCCTGAGGCGTTCAAGTCTCTTTAGTTACGATGTTTATTGGCGTGCTATTTTTATTGTTTGAGCTCTTTGGGAACTATAGGTATTACAAAAACTAATCATGTATATTATTACATGTATAATAGAAAAGAAAATCAATGTCGCGTTATAGGAGGTATCTCATTACAGGAAGTAATCAAGACAGTTTTTTCATTTTTTTTGTAAGAAAATCAGGTTTGGGAAAATGTAATGATATATATATATATATATATATATATATATATATATATATATATATATATGAAACAAAGATGATAGAGAGCATGTAACTCTATGCATAGATATTCTAAGGATTGTTTGTAAGTAAAAAATTTAACAAAAAATAAAACTCATTTTGAAAATGATTTAAAAGAAAAATATAATTGAAAGATTTTAAAAAGTTTAATATAGAAATATAAATGTTTATCAAAATACTTATTGGTTACTCCAGTGTCCTTAAAACTCAACTAATCGTTCACGAAATCGTCAAAAAAGTTTTATATATCCTTCAATAAAGATAGAAACGTACTCTTTTTTTTTAAATAAACATGAGAGATCCTGATTGAATAGCCTGGGAAAAATATTAAAAAAATAAATGAGTATATATAATATTATAAACTCACGGGCAAATATGACGACTAAGAAGAAGACGCATGATCGGAAGATGTGCCTGGCCGCCATCCTCTCCTCCACTGGAGCGGGTTCGCAGGAGCAACAGAACAACTTCTCTCTCATCCCCACCCAAGGGGCATAGCGCCCCCTCCCCTAAGGATTATTTATTAATCCTTCAAATATCTTCATAACTTCAGGACTTAAGACATTTTTTTTTTCTTTTTGAAGAGTATCCCTTCATTTGCAGATCAAGTAGTCCCAATCACCTAAGAACCAAGGTGTGGATGAACATACTTACCATCACTATCGATTTGTCATCATTTTATCATTAATAATTTGTTACCATTATTTATATTTAAAAGTGAAGAGCAATAATCTAAAAAAGAGTATGTCTTATGGAAATGACTCCTGAAGAAACTAGTAGACACCCTTTAGTGCAGGGTGGTCGAAGAATTTTTTGAAGGTTTTAAATAGAATTGTAAGATTACAAACCATGAGTTTTTTTGGAATATAATTAAATGGTAAAGTATGGAAAGGTGTTAAGTATCATACTTCAGCTTTAGTAAAAGAAACTGAAATTACCCGTATCCAGCATAAAGCCAACGTGTTTTCTCAATGGATACCTCTATCAACTCGGTTATGAACCAAAAATAGAATTTATCTGGATGGAAGGAGAAAATATGAAAAATATATCTCTTTACACTTTATTTCTTAGCTATCGTTCACTATCCCCAAGATCTCACTTACCACATAAGATTACAGAAAACTAACGATGATAAGAAAACCGATGGTGGACACTTACAAAGGACTCTTACAAGTAACTATTTTGCCTTCATTTTTGTTCAAAAAATCGATTTTTTTTTACAAGCCCTGGTCTTGGTCTTGCAACAGTTAGGCGGCCTGGGTCTTGGTCTTGCAAACTGCAAGACCAAGACCGATTTTGGGTATCACTAAACGGAGTACATGCCCTCCAGTTTGGAGTAGTCAATAAAAGATTCATTTTAAACGTACTCAATTTCATATCGTCATGTTTGATTCACGAATGCTTGCTGATTCACGACGGTCTAGGTAACATGCTGATGTGTAGATCACTTTGTTTCTGAGCTTTTTGCTATTTTAAAGATTCATTGGTTTGAAAAGATGAAACTAGAGTTCTTTTTTTGTCTCGTGTCAAATGTTCCAATTAATGAAATTAATTCTCTGTCTCTAATATGTATAATTCGGCTTTATAGCTTTTTCTCAGTCAATTTCATTTTGCAGTTGCCTGTAGGTTTGGATTTTTTTGAAGGCCATTCAATATTATATTCCCACATACCACTCTTCTTTGCTTCACCTAGTTCCATGGTAAGCACTATCGGCCTCAGAGCAGGGGAACCCGAACATTTGGCCGGCTGGAAGTGCCAGCCACTTATTAGAAATTTAAAAAAAAATACGAACCCTATGAGAAAAATTAAATTTAGCCTATTAATAAAGCTAATAGACACAGTAGTCTGTATTGACACTGCATGCGCAAAACGCTTTACCATCTTGTATTTACATGACCACCTTTCATTAAGCATTCCATTACGTTTTTCGTCGGTAACGCCACAATCTTTATAACCTTCACTGTAAAGTTTCTTACATCACAATTTTCTGTTTTTTTTTTTTTTTTAACTTTTATTATGATATTTACAACTGTATTAGTATGAATACATCAAGTAAATGTGCACAGAGGAATATTATCACATGAAACACGCTTGTTGAGAAACTACCCATTGGTAGCACTCTAATTTCTGGTTTTTAAATTAGAACTTTTTACAAAAGGCCATAAAGAAGCACTAGCGGATCCAGAATTTAATTTTGGGAGGGGCTTCAGCCAGAAAGCTTTTTTTTTTTTCATAAAAATAACGAAAATTACTTTGGAAAGAAAGAAAGAAACTAACTACGTACATGAAATGGTGTTTAAGTGATTCCGAAAGTCCTTTTAAATGTACTTACACGAACAATAATACTTTAAGAGATAATTATTTTGTTTTTTTCCATATAACATGGTTATATTTTACCATTTGGGGAGGGGAATGGTAAAACAGCCCGAAAGCTCTCCCCTCCTCCCTCCGTAGATCCGCTCGTGTAGAGAAGAAATGAAACATCGTAGATTTCATTTTGTGGGATCAAAATATGCGCCTCGAAAAGACTGACCAGTAAAGCTCTAAACCTCATTTCCCATATAAATTGTCCTTAGAAGCTTTTGCAGTGTGGCTGTCGACTAAATGCATATTATTAAAAGGAGCATGACATTTTTTATTAAATGGTAAAATAATGTTAGTTTTGAGCTTATACAGTTTAAATGTAATGCAGTAAACTTTAATTTACGAGTTGTATACACAAGTAAACGTGGTCAAATAGTCTTCCGAACTCCAAATATTTCAACCATTGAAGTTACCATAATTCTAAAGTAACATTTTTTTTTTTTTTTTTTTTTTTTGTCCTCCCCTTCCTCCCCGTTAAGGCTATACGGGGTTTTTCCCGGGTCAGGGGGTGTGGGCGGGGATTTAAAAGACGCTTTGGCAACGGGACGCGAACTCGTGACTATTTATATTTAGTCATATATCAGGTTGGCGGGAAACGGTGGTGCTGTACACATTCTGAAGTTACTTGTTAAAATTGCGTAAAACTTATTAAAATATGTGTGGGGTGGATGTTAAAGTGGATTCTGGCTTCATGATTTGGTATAGAATGGCCCCTATGTTTTAATTTCGTGATGATTATTATTATAAGTACTTATAAATAATTGGTACCTTTCATATTATCCTCTTAAAACACTCTTCATAAATTCTTTTTATTCTCAATTAAAGAATGAATTCTGATTTTTGTATCAAAAGTATTTTCATTTGTTACACAGTTCGACCTGATCCTTTAAGAAGATATTCTTCTCATCTGCATATGTCAAGGGATTCTTTCAGTTTCTAACCGAGAATTTTTATTGTTTCCGTTGGGGCGACCCACTGTTCGGACCTTGAACCGCCTGGAGTTGGCCAATCCTAATGGCTCTGATGGTGTTTGTAATCGTTTCAGGAACAGCGATGATGGTGGCAAGCAGGCATCGCTATATTAGAAACATCCACATTTTCTAAGTTGACAATGTTTAATTATATAATTGATCGAATTAACTCTATTTAATCATTATTTTTAAATCAAGTTATCGCTACTATTACTACATTATTAGTCCTAAAGGTTTCCAAACAATTTTTCATGTTTATTCTATTTGTGCTAAAGGTGACATTTTGTAGTCTGCTACTATGGGAAATACCAGAGGGAAATAAAATATGAAATCATACTTACAAATCGTAAGAAATAATCGGTTGCTCTTCTGTAAAAAAAAATCAATTTTTATATACGACCTTTTTCACTTACAGTTGTAGTGATATATTTCCTCTCATAGCATGTATTTATTGAATCAAATTGTTTTTTAGCGATGGACGTATATTTAGATGAGTATTAAAGTTGAAAAAAGTCGGGACATATTGTCATTAATTATATTTTTTAAGTTCCTTGACGTTTACTGTCTTGCCATCAAACCAATGGTAATTTTTAAGCTGATATTTATACTTGTTAATTTTTTATTTCAATACTTTCGATTCCATTTGTTGTTCCACATATCCTTTTTGTCATAATCTTGCCTATTTCGTTCGAATTATTTTTTGTAATCCAAAAAAGTCACCTCAGTTACTCTGAGCCCTGTTATTTTTTGCATATTTTTTTTTTTGTGTAAATGTTTCATTTTTACTAATTTTTTGGTTAGTTTATTGTTACATATATACTTATTTTTGGTATTTAAATTAGCTCAAAAATATTGTATTACAGTTATTGTTATTTTGATATTATTGTTATGTTTACATTACCGTTATCTTAATTGTGATTTCCATATATTTTTTTTCTCTGATTTATGTAAGGTCAGATATACCATTTTTCTGATGTAATTTTGCAGGGGTACACAGAAAGGATTTTCATAGTGCAAGTTACCATTTTTTGAGAGGGTCACGATATGTCGGAATTTTGAATTTTATATGGAGGCAGATTTCTACGAGGTTGTATTTACAAAATGAAAAATTTTAAGCGGGAGACAAGGGTAAAACACGGACGAAACCATAGAAAGTGTAATTGTATATGGTCTACATTTTTGTCTAATTCGTCTTTCGCTCGTACTGTTTTAAGAACAGAAGAGTAATAAATTTTCATTTCGGGAGGGGGAGAGATTTAAGCGCCATCGACCTTGGGGCGAGATTGGCACCCCTATATTTTTGTATTTTTAAACTTTTAGCCCCGATGAAGGCCCATATGCTTGATCTAAACCTCAGCAAACTTAATTAACACCATTAATGCCCGCATATCCTAACTATTTTTTGTCGTCTGTATTCTTTGATTATACGAAAATTAATCCGGATTCGGAATTCACTTAAAAAAATTTTAATTTAAAACTTTTAATAAAATTCTTATAACTATCATTATAGGTGTGATGTATCATATACAAATACTTAGGTTCCTAATAGATCAATAAAAGTTGTTTTATAATCGACTCTTGTATTGGATTACATTCATAGGGCATGTATGATTAAAAAAATATTAACTTATGGGCTCATCCTAATTATTACAAGTTATTGTTCCTAATGATGACAATGTATCTCGTAATAAGAATTGTAATTCTTCGCCAACATAATATCCTCCTAAGCCAATAGCAAAGCACAAAAGAACAATGCGCCAGACATATACAATAAATCAATGAACCACTCTTTCACAATTCTTTTTCACCGGAGGATGAAGTGCTTCATGCTTATATCTCTCATGAATGGTTTGTTTTCAATATTTTCTTTTAATATTCAACTTAACGTTATCATTAGTAAGAAAAATTCAGATTTCAAATATCCTAAATCTATGTTCCCTATAAGGAAATCGGCATTTTTTTTTATTTATTCGTATATTTAACCCAAATCATTATCTCCGAATATCTCGTATTATATTTTACCCTCAGTTCAACTTAAGACATACAAGTCATATAATTTTAAGTATTTAAAAACAATTATTTCACTTTTTCCAAGCAGTTTTCTTT